ACAACGAATTACACATTTTTCCTGATCATTTCCTAGTACCCATTGGCTTAACATAGTGTGTTGTGACTGTTATTATAAAGAATAGTAGTTATCTGTCCTCTTATTTAAGGCCTAATTCTATCCAGTTTTGACCAACATTTTTCTTGACCATTTCCTAGTACCATTGGCTAACATAGTGTTGTGACTGTTATTGTAAAGACTAGCAGTTATCTGTCCTCCTGTTAAAGGCTTAATCCATCTGACTTCGAACTACACATTTTTCCTGCTTTATACAAAACTGAATTAGATGCTAGTCACTGCAAAAGTCATCTATAACAAGAGATGTAATGGCATCTCTTTGTACACTTATCAAGAGTCAATATTTGGTATGCATACTCTTAAATTTGTGGAAACTGTATCAATAGGAACAGTTTTGTCTTAAAAGATATGAACAGGTAATTCAAAAGAAATGCTGAATTTACACTACTTATATAGTGGTTTCAAACTTTTGTTAGGTCTTGCTCTCTCAGTCTACTAATCATAAAAGATATCTATGAAGTGGAGTTGTTATGAAAATCTAGCAACTTATGTTTTCTACAATATGAGGATGCTGCTCTAATGGTTGTATAAATCCTAGAGTACTCTTGTTTCTTTATCTCGCGACTATTTTGATTATATTTGTATTTCTGCAGAGATCTGGTAGGCTCGAAGAAGAGATTGAATTACTTGAACTGAAATTGAAGAACGTTGAAGAAGGCATAGCATTTGGTGGGAAGAGGACTAAGATTGCTAGATCTCAAGGAAAAAAGGTTCAAATCACAATTGAAAAGGAGTACGCGAGGTTGTACTTGCTATTGTTTATTGTCAACTTCAGCATTATTTTTGCTTGTCTAACATAATCAAATTCTTGTAACTTTCAAAATAAGTGCAGATTGTTGGGGAACTTGGCATGGTCATACATGCAACTGAATAACTTTAAATTGGCAGAGGAGTACTATAGGTAATAATCACCAACTAAAACAAATTGAGCACTTGGAGGTGTGGCTTTATTTGGAGAAAAATTGCTCACATGTGGAAATTGTTTTAATGCAGAAAAGCACTCTCTCTCGAATCGGACAAGAACAAGCAAAGCAATCTTGCAATCTGTTTGATGCACATGAACAAGATTGCAGAAGCTAGGTTTCTGCTTCAAAGCATAAAAGCCTCAGATAGATGGCAAATGGATGAGTCATGCACCAAGTCCTTCGAACGTGCCACTCAAATGCTAGCTGAGTTAGAAACTCATGGCATTCAGAACTCTAAGGAACAGGTGGAAGAGATGCGGGAGGTTAGGATAGATTCATCCACATCAGATGAACATGATTGCAGGGGACACGAGAAGACACATCCACCTCCATTTACTGCTTCTGGACCTCCAAAGCACTTTTTAACACAACCAAGAAGATATTCATGTTCACTCAATGATGGAGGTTGGTTGAATAAGGACTCTGTTAGTGCATGTAGTCGAAGATTGTTATTTGAGCAAACATCAAATAATGAGAATGTGCAGTTAGTTGTGAATCATAATTTCAACAAGCTCATTTCTGCCAACGATATGAGCGAGGGAGCATCCCTTGTACGTGGACAAGTGTTAACTAGGTCATGGGGAAATGGCGCTAACGTGGAAAGTGAATGTGATTTGCAGCCACCTTACTCCAAATGGAAAAACAACTCTTCCGGAAATGATGGATCAGACCAAATTTCTTTAGAGTTGTCGAAGTCTCCAACAGAATCATTGGCTGATATTACAAGTGCAAGAAAATATTCTGGAGATGGGAGTAAAGATTGTTGGAGTTCCACTTTGACTTATAGAGATACGGTGACATTAGAGGATACCACCGAACACTTGGAGAGCACAAACTTGAAACCTTTAAACTTGCCTGCATGTACAAGCAAGAAGAGTTGGGCTGATATGGTGGAAGAGGATGAGTTGGGTTTACAATTTCATGAAACTCCAGGCAAATATTCAGATGAAAATGAGAATATTGATTCAAATATTATTAATCTTAGCCAAAACATTGATACATTGCGTCTGAATGAAGGGTATCATACACAACCTGGACGAGAAGCAAGGCGTTCCTTGTGCTTTGATCAGAATGACAGAAAAGAAAAGTGTTCATCTGACTTTCAGGGGAAAGTGCTCAAGTCTGGAAGCTTGAACTCCTTGCCCCCTATAGGAGACATTGCTTATCAAACTCCAGTCACGTTGATGCGGAGGAACAGATTGCAAGTATTCAGAGATATAACTCCTGAAAGTCCTAAACCTTGAACCTACTATCATGTACAGAAATAAATAGTCATACCAAATAATTTGCATGATGCTTTATGTTTAGTGTACTTGTTAGCTGATCTTATGATCATTTTAATACTGCAAGACCTATTAGGCTACTAGCCTTGAGAAACATGTGTTGGTAAGTGTATACAATTTTTCTTCTATAGCTTATTTTTCTTTGAACATACCATTTTGCCTGATATCCATTGTGCTAATTTGAGTTAGCTTAAGTGAATAGATTCACCTTGTGGCTTCTTCAGAGTTGTCTTACTTACATTTTCTATGCTTATTGTACTTCCATTCTGAGATATGAACATGGTTTTGAATATGTCATTCCAAGAAAAGTTGTATGCATCTCCAATTCTGGTTCCTCAAGTCCTCTGTCAAGAAAGACTATATTTCTCTTGCAAGTGACAGGGACATCTTTATGTTAACGCGTAGGAGATTGGTGATATAAAACACGAGATTTTTGTAAGATCATTTTCTTCTATTTAAATTGTAACAGATTATTTTGTGCTTTGATCACATTGATTCAGAACTTTCATCTGACTTCTGTTTCATCCCAATATGAATTTGCTTTTTTTGGCAAAGAATATAATTAATAAGGAAAGTTTAGAAGTCATCATAAATTTGAAAACATATATGGAGCAAGTAACATTACATTTAGGGCGACATCGGTCAAAATCATATACAAATGCTTTTAGGATAAAAATATTTTGCTTACGTATCGAATAGTGAACAGAAGGAAAAAAAAACTCTTATTTTCCTGAAAGATATTTTTCGTAAAAAATATTTTTATTTGTACCGAACACATTGACAATCTCGTAACAACCCGTTCTTCATTAGCTCTTCTTGTCAAAACTGAAAAAGAAAATCATAGATTGGCAAGGAGGTTTAATTAAGTTTTAAAAAATGTCATATTCCTTTTAGAATGTTCAAACAAAGAAGGAGGCCAAGCATTTCTTGTACAAATTAAGCAAAGTAGTTAGCATAGCCGCCCAAAATAATTTAATTAGCATAAGATAAGATAGAAATAATAAGAAGGTCCAAAACTTAATTACTTATGTATAGTATAATTATCATTTATCAATAAGATGTGATAAAATAATGTATTAAATAGTGCATTTGGTTTGTTAAATAAAAAGGCTATTTTTTCTTTTATCAAGTGGTAAAGCACCAAGTCCACTATTACGCACCTACTCAATAGTCAATACTATTATTGCACTTAACAGCTCATTGGCCCTCTGTTTTTAATTAATCCAAATGCAAATTGAAAAGCATCTTAGACTATTCATACCAAAAAAAGAAAAAAGAAAAAAGAAATGATCAAGAAAACAAAATTACTTTGATTATCACAATTCACATCATAATTACAAACAACTACTTTCTCGCTCCTTGGAAACAAAATGAACTTGTGGCAGTCCTTTCTTGGTCGGAAATATACACATTATTATACTTTTACGTCTAAAATTATCTGTCGTGTTTATTTTTTATATGCTCCTTAAAAATATTACCCTAATTTATGTCTTAAGCTATATTCTTTTTCATTAAATATGTATTTTGTTGAGGTCTTTGTAGTCTTCAAAAATAATTACTACTAAGCATTGAGAGAGATTTTATTTTTTTTAACCTTGAACTTCTATAATGACAATAATTTGAGATAATTACTTTTAAAAAATATTCGATCCGGCTGGACTAATGTTGGCCATTAGTTATCTCCTTTTGCAAGTAATGATGAAAAACTGTTTTTTTCTTCTTAATTACAAAAAGAAATTAAAAGCTTATAGAAGATCTAGAAAATGTTAGAGTTGCCTCATGTTGATGTCACTCCACTGATCAGAAATCACATTTGGTTTAACCATATTGGTGTTAAAAGCTTATTAATCAAGATTTCACAAACTAATCATCTATATTCAATATACGTTTCAGCCGAAATTGCTAAGCCCGGGTTTAAAAGCTCTTAACACTCGGTTAGTAGACACAAGTTGAGTGCATAAGCCTCTTAGGTCACGAGATGAGTATCACACGAGCTAATAATGGACCGAGCCTTGTCTATAAAGCAGAGCGACCAACAAAAAATCCTTCATATAACATAATTATGTCCTTTTAAGTCTACAAACTAATTAATCTCTATTAAACACAAATAATAAGTTGATTAAGTGATGGTGCCAACAATTAACAATTTTAATCCATTTAGCTGACTATGGTTGTCTCCATCATAGATTCCACCGTCGGCAAAATGGTCGGTTCGATCAACAATCATTTTGATTATGGACCACCTATTATCATTTTCCTTATTTTTGGTCGGTTGTACATCCTAATTAAAATTACTTTTCCTAATCATCCTTTAGTAATTTTTATCAGGTTAAATTGACTTACAATAACAAATAACTTTTCATATTAATTCTGATATTATATGATACGATAACTTTTAAAAATTTAAAAGTAATACCAAAAGTAATTTTTTATAAATTTACATCTATTCTTAATTTTTTTTTTACACCATTAGTATATAGTATTCCTAAAATTTAACTCCTTTTTTCTTTAAAAACGGCTAGAATCTAATTATAATGCCACGTGTCAGCACCCAAATAAATTGGAGGCACGCCAAAGACACAATGACAGGTGGCTTCCAACCCAAAGGGTGTCCTCTTATTAGTCCACTATATATTTAAGTAGCACTAACTTGTTAGGAAATAAACAACACAAATTAAGTTTTTCTTTTCCCTCTAATTAAGAAAAAAAATAAGTAGTAAGAAACGATAATGCCAATTTCTAGAATTGCCATCGGAAATTTAGCAGAGGCTACCAAGCCTGATGCTCTTAAGGCTGCAACAGCTGAGTTCTTTTCCATGCTCATTTTTGTTTTTGCTGGCTCAGGCTCTGGCATGGCCTTCGGTAAGTATAACTTAAACTTATATATATACACCGCTGACAATATAAAGAATTTTTAATTTACATTTGAGAATATATAATATTTGTACTTTTCACAGGTAAGTTAACGAATGGTGGAGCAGCGACGCCAGCTGGACTTATTTCGGCATCCATAGCACATGCCTTTGCCCTTTTTGTGGCAGTTTCAGTCGGAGCAAATATTTCTGGAGGTCACGTAAATCCTGCTGTTACCTTTGGTGCTTTTGTAGGAGGTCACATTACACTTTTTAGAAGTGTCTTGTATTGGATTGCACAATTGCTTGGATCCGTCGTTGCTTGTGTGCTCCTCAAGTTTTCTACTGGTGGATTGGTAAAGCCATTTATTTGTGGAATTTTCTAGTGAAAATATTTGTAATTTATGGAAAAAAATTTAATGCAGGAAACATCAGCATTCGCGCTATCAAGTGGAGTGACACCATGGAACGCAGTTGTTTTTGAGATAGTAATGACATTTGGCCTTGTTTACACTGTTTACGCGACTGCAGTTGATCCAAAGAAGGGAGATTTGGGAATAATTGCACCTATCGCAATTGGTTTCATCGTTGGTGCTAATATCTTGGCTGGTGGTGCGTTTGATGGTGCATCAATGAACCCAGCGGTGTCGTTTGGTCCAGCTGTGGTTAGCTGGACCTGGGACAACCACTGGGTCTATTGGCTCGGCCCATTTGGAGGTGCGGCTATTGCTGCTCTACTATATGAAATCATCTTCATTGGTCAGAACACTCACGAGCAGCTTCCTTGCACTGATGATTACTAAGGATATTGGATTTCATTTCCTCTTTTCTTTATTTAATCTCTAAAACCAAATGTTGCATAATTAATGTTTGTTTAATTTCAACGTTGTTGTTGTTGTTTTAATTCCTGTTCTCTTTGTTTGTCTTTCAAAACTTGGCTTTTCTTAATTGTACCTGGAGTTGGCTTTCCTAATTTGATCCATGCTTATTGTTAATTGCGGACAAATTAACGTTAACAACTTGCTAAATCATCAGGAAGGAGTGCCAATATATATATATTTACTCCTTGCCATTAAACTTAGTAAATAGTTTTACGAATTACGTACATATACCGTTAGACAAAAGTTAAGTGTGTAAATATTTTCACAAATCACACCATCATACATATAACTTCAAGTTTGTCAGAGTGATAGAAAAAATCAGTTCATTTTGACGGATTAAATCTAAATTGGATGAGTTAGAATAGATCAAATTAATATAGCCATATGCTTGTAACATATTTTCACAAAGTTTTTTGTGGGTATCAATTTTGACCTATATAGTTGCCTCAACTAGCCTAGTTTTTAGATGGCTGAATTGAGCTTCAAAATAAGTTTAAGTTACCAAATGAGCAAATCACTTATCAGCCCAAAGACCCTACCGCATCCATTAGTATTTTGTTGGGGCCATATTTTTCCACTTTTTAATTGTTTGATGTGCTTCATTTCTTATTGCGTTTTAGCAAATATACATTTATCTAAGCATTATACCTACCTCTTTCTCATCTACCAATCAAAGCAATGACTACTATCGAACTCTTTTGTCTTCCTTTTAGTGGTGGATAAAATGTAAGTTCGATGTATGAAGTATTCTTCATTCATGTAAGAGTTAGAAAAAAGGTTGTTTTTCAAGAAATATTTAGCATAAGTAATTTATTCTGTGTCAAATATTAATGATTGGTTTCACCATTTAAATATGCAACCTATAGATCAAAGAAAAACAACTTTATCATTGATCGAAAGTTCCCATTCCTTTTTTAGTAATAATAGGTGACTTTTTCCCCCTTTGAACCATAAATAATTAGAGACAAACAGTCATAATTGTGCATCTTTGTCATCGGCATTCACTTTTCTTAATGAACTGAATTAGGCCTAATTTTCCTCAGTTAAAGTCGATAATTGATTCATGAATTGCATAACTTTGTAGAACTAAACATTTTTTTTAGGGAGATTACAAATTAATAAACAAAGAAGTTCATGCAGGCCACATCCTCATTACAATAAAATAAAATCCACTTACTATTCCTCCCTCCACCATTTTTTTACACCTAGATTTTTATATTTTAGTAATCATTTTTAAAAAAAATTGACGAGTGCTACCAAAGCTTTGCCTATCCACTAAATAAAATATTCCACAACTTTACCTTAGATATATGATATAAATATTTGTGAAATAAAGTGAAGGATAGCTACGTTTTTTTTCCCTTCTGAAACCTGTAAAAATATCTAGCAAGAAAATTTTGGGTACATTTATTTTGGTTAAAATATGTGACACCCCAACTTAAGATAAAGAGTTCCACATTGGTAAAACACAAGAGAAATATTGGATATATATGTAAGTAGGTCTTACCAATTAGTGACGTGTTTTAAAACCGTGCGGGAATAAGCCTAAAGTGGACAATATTACTAACAAGTTAGGCCGTTACAGAGAGATCTAAGTGCTACACATACTTGTGAAATCTCCTAAAGCAAAAGAAATTTACAAGAAAATGACTAATTGTTTGATAATAACTTGATTGATTACTTAAAAAATAGACACGGGGTATTTGATAAGAAGTGTGCTTAAAGATAATGTTTCACAAAATTTTAAATTTGCAAATGACTTTTCACTCAATTCAAAATTGTCAATCGTCATATGTCACATACTATAGTACAGTTCAAATAAACATTAAACACATTAGTTGAAAAGCCAACGATTGTGTTTAATCATTTAAGTGATCATGATTTTTGACAAGCACAGAGATGATTTTACAATTATTCATAAAATTACTTTCTTAATTTAAAAATATATACTATCAACCAATAATAGTCTAAATATCGATACATCAATAAATATTAAGAGCACATTTGATTGAAAATAGTTGATAAGCATTAGGTGAAAAAAAATATTACCTTTTGGTGTTGAAACTGTTTGATTAAAGTATTGAAACTGATAATGGTAAGTAGTTGACAAAAAAAATATTAGGAGAATAGTAAAGAACATTAATAGAAAAGAGATTAAGTTAGAAGTCTATATTGGAAAATAGAAAAATTATGATTGGAGCAGTTAAGCTTTTTTTTTGTAATTGTTCATTTGATGTGCAATATTTGTATTAAGGATCTATTAAACTTGGATTCACTCATTACAAAGGATCAATCCATTTATATCATTATATAAAATGTAACTTATAGATCAATACTTCTATTTTAAATTAGAGGTTCCATTCAATTAATGAAAACTTAATAAAGTTTCTTTCATATGAATGTCTATGAATGTATGTTGCTTCATGAATTCAATGGCTTGAATTATGTTCTGTTTCAAATTTAGGCAAGAACTTTACTTATATCAAACATCCATAAAACTAGCTTAATTAGAAAACAAATAGAAAAACATGTGAATGTAGCAAAAAATATATATTACTGGAAAGATTTTTCTGAATAGTATTTGGGTCAGCTTGTGAGAACCTGGATTATTCTATCGGATATCTGTTATATCATACCAGCACAGATAATACCAAGTTATTTTATCCACAGATACTCTTAGAAGGTTCAAGTAGAAGTAGTTTACATAAAATTAGAGGAAATTAAAGATGTTCATTAGATATGACATGTTGAGTAACCTCCACACATGAGATATATATATATATACTCTAGTAATTAACACAACTAGTTAAGCCTCAGAAACACTTAGTAATAGTTATTTAAAGAGATCAGAACAGAGTGCCTTCTGATCATGGGATTTTCTACATATATACAAAGAGTGATCACTAAATATTACTATTACTCATCTCACAAACCTACACCAACTCTAAACAAATAGTTCAAATTATATCCTCCGTGAGATAGCTAGGGGTAACTTCTGCATACATTCTACCCTCCTCATATCTCGCATGTTGTTGTGCGTCCCTCCAAATTAGCCAGTAAAAAATGAGAAATCTTGATGATTGTCAAAGTAACAATGATCATGAGTACTCGTCCATAGTGAATCTGGGCAATAATTATAATCCCATGTCGTTGATGCCATAACTGGTAAATGATTCCTAGTTTCGATTTCTTCAGTTGATTCGACTTCTTTCCAGATTTCATCCATGGAATAGACCATCATGTTCTGATCTCCTTCATATATTTTATTTTCTCCAGCAACTTGCAACAACTCGACGCAATCATTTCTTTCAGTACTGGAGTCCTCAGCAGGACTGTTGGCAGAGGAAGAGGAGCAATTGGAGAAATTGGATGAAGATGGAGAAATTGAAGCCTTATTAGTATTCTTCTTCTCATCTTGAGCTTGCTTCCTCATATGCGTTCTCCAGTAATTTTTGATTTCATTGTCAGTTCGCCCTGGTAATTTTCCAGCTATTTTCGACCATCTGCACTTAAAATAGCCGTGTCAAATCTTAAATGGCTAATAAATAAACTAAGTTATGCCTCCAATTAAGAAAAAAAACAAGTTGGATCAAGATGATCATGCTTAAAGTTTGTTTGGGTCAAGTTGCTGTGACTAATAACAACTCTGTCCACCAAGGCTACGACAGATGACAAGAATCAACTAGTGTTTTTTTGTCTCTGCTGAATTTTGAACCTGAAACCTCAGGTTGTCAAACACTTCATTAACGACTAGGCCACATCCTTGGGTGCTTGTCGTGACTATGTCTAATGACTAAACTCAGACATTTTTTTTCTTAAAAGTAAAGTTCAATCAGATTAAACTTGGTGACTTGAGCAAATTAAATTTTCGGAGCAACTTTCAATTATATGAAAAATTGAAAGAACAATTTGAAAATATAGACAAACCTATTCCCATATTTGGAGTGAAGTTGAAGAACAAGAAGTTCTTCTTGAGGAGTCATCTTTCCACGTTTGAGAGCAGGATTCAAGTAATTAACCCATCGTAATCTGCAACTCTTTCCACTTCTTTTCAAACCTATAAATAAATGAATAACAAGAAATGGAATGCAGAAGAAGAAGGGGTTATTAAAGTGGCTCCCTTTCAAAACTAAGCCTAGCTATTCTATTTTTCTCTCCCGCCTACCAACCTTCAAACCTGAAACTTTCGCCAGAAAATCCCAGCGACGATCACCAAACATCTTCACATAAAATACTAGTTGAACATCTTCTTGTTCTGTCCATGGACCTTTTCTCATTTCTTCTTGAACCATTTTAATTTCTCTCAATTAATATTATTGCTTTTTTAATTTCTTCTTGTTGGTGATTCATACTAGTGTACATGAGTGATATTTATACTGGGAATAATTGGCTTGTCCTAATTTTGTTGGTGTTATTATATTTTGGAATGTGTCTGTCTACTAACAAGTGGTATTGGAGTGGTCATTTTAATTTAGTGGCACAAAAAAAACCAATGTTGCCATATGATGTAAGCCATTAACAGGGAGGACCCAATGATGATGATAAATCTAGATAAGAGGTTGATATGTTGATGTGATGTAACTTTATTAATTCTTTCATACATAAGTTGCTAGCCATTTCAGACTTATTCAATTCTTTTTTCTAATTTATCTCCAACAACAACTAAAAGTGTAATTTCGCAAAAGGGATTTAGGAAAAGTAAGGTGTACATAGATCTTCGATAGAAAAATTGTTTTCAATAGACCATATTATTTTCTTTCCAACTCTAGGATAATAATACTGTACTTCTTTTATTTTATGGTAGTATTTAAATATCAATTTAAGAAAAATATTGATCTAGAGGTTAATTCAATATCAAAACCTAGTTTATACTCAGAATCATATAAAGAGTTCAAATAATCTATCACTCATCGACGTGGGGAACTTATGATTGAACATTAGAAGCGTCAGTGGCGTAGCCAGAAATTTTATCAAGGGGATCCAAACTTTGAATAGTAATTTTTTTAAAAAAAACAATGATCTATAGAGATTCTATTTTTAATAATATTGTGATATAATTTGGGTAAATTGGTCTCCTATTTATAGAGAAAGAAAACCTTATTCCAAAAGGAAAATGTATTAAAATTTAGAAAAATCTTATTCCACAAAGGAAAAAGGTATTAAAATATAAGGAAATCTTATTTCACAAGGAAAAGGTATTAAAATTTAAGGATTTTTTTTTTTCAATTAAAACCTTATTCCAAAAGGAAAATGTATTAAAATTTAAGAAAAACTTATTTCACAAAAAGGAAAAAGGTATTAAAATATAAGGAAAACTTATTCCACAAGGAAAAGTTATTAAAATTTAAGGAAATAATTCAATTTTAATTGAAAAAAAATCCTTATTGGAGTTGAGTTTCGAACTTGGGTCACTCAAAATAAGCATGACCCTATTTACCACCAAGCTACTGAACATTTATGTTAAACTTATGCATGTTTATTTTCTTAGAAACTTCAAGAAGACCAGATAATTACAAAAAAATGAAAACGTTCATGCGGGGAATTGAACTGGGGAAGCGAGTAGGTTTGCGACAACTCTAGTCATCTCTACTATGGGTTACTTTGTTATTTCAAGGTGTCCAAAATACGATATATACCAATATAAGTCAAAACTTTACGTGTATATATCATATAATTTTTCGTCGAAGGGTGTGGCTCTGCCCTAAGAAGCGTGAGGATATATTAGATCAACCTAACATCGAATAAACAAAGAATTAGAGTGGACTTTGTTCTACAGAGGCTATAATAAAAAAATGGATACTAGATTTGACTAAACCTGAAAAGTTAACTCATGATGTGAGAATTGTCCAACGTCATATAAAGGGACCAAATAAACCATCACTTATCGATGTAAAAACTCAACAAGGATAAAATTGAATGTTCAGGGTTAAGAATTTAAGTTAAATTAGTACTCCCTCTGTCCCTAATTACTTGTCCACTTTTGAATTGACACACCTATTAAGAAAGTAATTATTGACATAGTGAGTTTACCATTTTGCCCCTATTAAGTATGAAGTGGATGGATTAAAAATTTAAGATTTGCAAGAAATTGTACCTTTTTCAAAATAATTAATTGAGGGTATAATAGGTAAAATTATTTTGTCCTTTCTTGATTTGTCAAAATGGACAAGTAATTAGGGACAACTATAAAAGGAAAAATAGACAAGTAATTAAGGACAGAGGGAGTATTAATTTAAGGAGTAATTAGATTAAGTTCAACATTCTTACAAAGCTGGCCGTTAAAGAAATTCGCTACGTCTCATGTGTTAAGTGTCCCTTGATTACAACAAAGGCCATATATATCAAAATAATAATAATATGCGTTACACAGTTTACATTGAGTCTCAAACATACAATACTGAGAATGAGAGACACTGGCAGTTGTCAAATTAGCCTTTAGCTCCAGCTACAGTCACACTCAATAATATTAATTAACGCCTAATTTGAACTATATACTATATCGTTTAAGTATTATTTTTTAAAAGATATAAGTTATAAGTCTTATAGTTAATGTGTGATTGAAGACTACGTTTAAGGAACAAATTAAAAGTCTTTTAATACATAACTTAATTATACGCGACGTACGTACCAAAATTGTCTTCCCTGCCAACAATTAAGAAATGATAAGAATTTCACATAGATTGAAAGTCTGTCGTGGAGACTTGTGTCGCTGCGAAAGACTCATGTAGTCCAGGGAAAATCTTAATAGTTCAATTACCTGAATTTTCATTTGATTGGTGAGGGTTCAAACTTTGAACCCATTTTTCTTTATCCTGCCCCGTAATTTTAAGTAAAACAAAATAAAAATATGAGGACGGATGATTGTTTTCTTTTTTTATTTTAATTTATTTTTAAAACACAGAGGAGAGTTTAATTTCCAAGATATATTCAAAAGTTTGTCTTTTCCTTCGTTTCTATATGTTCCATTTTTTGTTCCGTTGATGCATGAATCCATCTGATTTTGATATTATTTAATTGCATAATTTACCTTTCAAATGAAATATTTTTAATTTTTTTTTTCTTTAATTAACAATCGAACTTATATTTAATGGAACAAAATCTACGGACCATCACAAAATAGAGACTAAAAAGCAAATGACCCTTTTGATATCTTTCCAAACCCAAGAGTTATAACTTATAAGTAGTAGATAAAGCTGTATTAGTGGGTACACTCCAAAATATTAGGCAAATTCTTTTGAAATGTAGTAACATTTATCTTGTCCTAGCAATAATTAGAACACTATTTAATAGAGATAAATAATGCAAGTCATTTTCATCTTTCTACGCGTCAAAGTTTCTTTACTTATGGACTTATTAGCAACCTTTAATTATTTAATATATACTTGTTATACGGAGACCAAACATGGTTACGTTACACATATTAGACAAGTCCACTAACAACGATAGGTAAATAGTTTAGTATTTAAAATTTGATTTACAAATCATTTATGGATACTTTACAAAAAATAACTTTGATTCCACTTGACTAATGGACAAAATTTTAAGTTTAACAAAGGGATAAGGGTATGAAAAATACCCCAACTTTGGTCGGATTTGCTGTTACGATACTAAACTTTCATAAGGACCTATTACCTCGCTAGACTATTTAATACCGTATTTTTTACCCCCTAAACTATTTAATAGTGTATTTTAAAGGTATATATGTGTCCACGTGGACACATTACTATTTATAATTTTGCATTATTTTTTATGTCCACGTGGGCAAATATATATGTTTAAAATACAGTATTAAATAATCTAGGAAGGTAATAGGTCCTCATGAAAGTTTAGTATCGCAACAGCAAATCCGACCAAAGTTGGGGTATTTTTCAAACCCTTATCCCTTTAACAAATTTTGCTCATGCCTAGAAAAAATTAAGACCATCAACTCTAGGTCATTAGATGTAATTTCTTGGTCCGTAGGGTATGTTAAATGGACAAGTCAATAAATTGTCCAGGGTTAAATAATGGATCATAACCTAATCCATCAACTCATTATCAAATTTTAGTTCTGTTTATCTTTTGTTTTAATAATTATTTGATCATCTAATATAAATTTTTTTCTCTTTTATTATAACTATATAGAAACTTGTTTTAATAATTATTTGATTGTCTAATATAACTTTCTTTTCATTAGATGTAATTTCTTGGTCCGTAGGGTATGTTAAATGGACAAGTCAATAAATTGTCCAGGGTTAAATAATGGATCATAACCTAATCCATCAACTCATTATCAAATTTTAGTTCTGTTTATCTTTTGTTTTAATAATTATTTGATCATCTAATATAAATTTTTTTCTCTTTTATTATAACTATATAGAAACTTGTTTTAATAATTATTTGATTGTCTAATATAACTTTCTTTTCATTAGATGTAATTTCTTGGTCCGTAGGGTATGTTAAATGGACAAGTCAATAAATTGACGTGGATGTCACTATTTTGTGGTGAGTCCACTTAAAGTTTTATCCTTTCCATCTTTTTCACAAGTTTATCATAAGGGGCATTATAATGTATGCATGTTTTCTCTCAAAGGGCCACTTCCATTCTCAATCAATATGAGGTACTGCGTATTACAATTACCTCTAAAAAATTGTTATTATTTTTTAATTTTTTTTGACGAGGGTTTATATTTTTATAGGCCGTTTGATTCAAGGGATTAGGTAAATTATTCCGATTTAAATTTTGAGATTAAACTTATTTCATGTTTTATTAAAGGTGTTAATTAAAAAAATAGCTATTAAATTAAAGATTTTAATCTGAATAAATTATTAAAAGATGAAATAAGTTATACAAGTAATAATTCTGATTTTAGTCTGAGGATTATAATGTTAAAATATTCTGATTTTTAATCAAAGAACCCCTTATTGGTGAAATATCTAAAAATCAAACAACCCCTTATTGGTGAAATATCTTGTCAAGGCTACAACAGGAAGTTCCTAATTCATAGGTTAATGGGGGGTGTACTTCAATTAGTTTTTAATGATTGTTGATTAATGGTTGATGTGCTTTCTATTAGGACGTAAGAGAATTTGGTTAATGTGTTATCTTCTGCTCTTTTCCCTTTTTGCTGGAAGTAGAGCCGTTAAAACGGGCTTAGCTCATGGGGCCGGTCCAATTCAATCCGTTATTAAGATAGAATTGAGAAAAGTTTTTTCAATCTCATTTAAAACTAAGGCTTATAATCCCTTGACCCTTGAGGCTTAGCTTGATCGAGGCCGGACCAGGGTCAGCCCATGGGCCAAAACTATTTATTTAAGGGTAACTTACAATAATCTCACTAGTATATAGTCTAATTACTTAAATACATGTTATGTTATAATATTATGAATCTTACCAGATTTTGGTACGTTCAGATACATGTATCTCAGAATATTCAAAATTAGGTTAATTTGTTCTAGACACACTCTATTCAAGTAGATTCGCATGTATCTAGGATACATAGACAAATCTCGCGCCCTCGCCTCCCTCA